AGCGGCGTAGGAGGAGGGGTCGACGAAGCCGTTGTCAGTGGCGGTGTTCTTCCAGCCGTAGCTACAATATTGTCAATGTCAAAGTTGCTTTGAATCACATGGTGTCCCACTTACACGTCGGGGGGGCTGCTCATGTAAGGGAGCGAGGTGACGTCGTAACCGGCGAACTGCTCAGAGCCATCGGTGAAGTAGTTGACGTGACCGTGGGCCATGACAGAGGCGGCGCCGGCAATGGCGGAAAGGACAGCGGAGTTCTTGAAGGAAGGCATTTTTGCAGATTTTCCAAAAGTGTTGAGTTTGGTGTTGTTGGATGTAGTTTTCGTTCGTGGAAAGAGTGGATATTGACTTCAAGTCGTAAAGATAGTGAACTTCAATCAATGAAGTGTTCAAATGAAAGAAATGTGCTGAAAAGCGGAAAAGAGTGTGGGAATGGAAAGCTGCGGGAATGAGCCTGTTGGATGAGGAGAAAAAGAGTAGGAGCAGACGATTTGAACGAAGAGAAGAGGACCTTATATCTCGAGATAGCCCAGAGTAGCGCTCATGGTCGTGGGTGGTGGCGCATACCTGCGTTGCGTGGATGCAAGCAATTTCGACCACGCCCATCAGGAGACAGTATCGATTCTCATCCCATGTAAGCCATGCTAGAACCACTGCGGCCCCGTCTCCGTCCCTCACGGAGCAGAGCCAGGGGTCATGTCCAAGGAGTCCCTGTGCAAATCCATGGCCGGGCGGTGTCCAGGCTGCGTTGGCCAGGCACAAGTTGATTGCGAATGGGTTGTGAATGTGATCGAGTGGAATCGTAAGGCGGGGGGGGGGGGGGGGGGGGGGTGGGGTGGGGGGGGGGGGGGGGCCCGCAGGGGAGGGGGGGGGGGGGGCGGGGTGGGGTGGGTGGGGGGGGGGGGGGGGGGGGGGGGGGGGGGGGGGGGGGGGGGGGGGGGGGGGGGGGGGGGGGGGGGGGGTTCGACGTTGAAGCAGGAGGCGCCCACCCTGCATCGAAAAGGAAGGGGGTCGTGGGGCCGGCGTCTACCCCCCGTTGTTATCCCGGGATCTAGAACCGCAAGCAGAAGCCGAAGCGAGGCCATCGCGGCTGGAAACGTGCCCATAGGTGAAAAGGCGGGAAACAAGCGGGGGTGGTGGCCATGCCGAGCAGCCATGGCGAGATCAAGCCGTTTCAGCATAAATGAAGGTGGTGACTTGTTGTATCCCGTAGTGCAGGGTTGAAGCAAGGTGACCTAGTGCACGTTGGCCGCTGGCGGCGCGGTAAACAGATCTGAGGCGCCAAAGCAGCGCAGTTATGGCGGGCATCTTGTTGCTCGCTTGTCGAGAGTGGTAAGATCTGTCTGTTGGTTCTAAGGTGGCATATGAGCGACATCAAAAATCATAGTAGCATCTGCTGTGAAGATCTGTGAATGATCCACCCAAGGTTAAGCTTAGGGACCGGCAAGCCTTCTTGGGATTGACAGAGGCATTAAATCGTGGATTAGCATGTTAGTTCGGAGTCAGTGAGCCGAAGCGCACTTCCGCCCACATCATATTGGGTCAGTCAGCAAAGGTTAAGCCAAGCTTGCAGTAAGCATAAGTGGCAGTGAGGAGAAGAAATGAGATTGAGGGCGACGGGATGGCAGTTCGTCTGAGCGTTGGAAAGGGGAGGTGGGTGGTCAGTGCTGGCTTGTCGAGTTTGCTTCTGCCGCTGATACTGGCAGCAGGGCAGTGCTTGGCTGGCAACAGCGAGTGACCCTCGGCTGGCTGGCTTACTGGGCACATGCAGGCCAGGTCTGGACGAGTTCCAGTGTGAGCCGATACCCGATTGACTGGAGACTTGGAGATTGAAGCCCTGGAGGGATGACGAGTCGAAGCGGGTAAAGAAGCAAACTGGGGTGGATAGCGGTGGAGGAAACGGGTTGGCACGTCTGTGATGAGGCGAGGAGGGATGCAGGCCGTAATTCTTAGGGCTCGACGCCTTGCTTGATGGGTGATCCAGCATATCCAGCTGTTCACAACAAGCAAGCATGGCAGGCTTGGCGATGCTTGGTTTTCATCTCGAGTCCTCAATCCAATGTCTGGCTTCCCACTTGAACTCCGACTTGGAATCTTGGGCGACGGAGCCGAACTGTGAACATTGTCGAGCCCCCTGGTATCTATTCTCGAAGCAGCGGATCTGGTCGTGGAGCCTGACTGGCCTCAAGCTCGATTTGGGAGCTGATCAGCCTCGATACGGATTTGTATGCAAGCTTCGTATCAATAACGGGCGACAGGCCATTTGCCCCCGTAGCCATCGCCTTTCTGGTTCGAACTTCACGGGGCCCAGTGGAACTGCCGGTGGGCGCTTGTGCGAGCGGTGAGAATCTCGACGATAAAAATGGTGGAAAAGCCGAGAATCGAAATGAACAAGTGGAAAGGAAAGGGTCAACTGCCGCCAAGTTTCGACAGCGCAGGTCTGGATGACAGGGAGAGTCTGGGACTCTACACTAGGTGGTGAGCGCATGTCGTTGGGCTTCGGGACAGCAATCTATTTGCAACTTTGTGAAAGGTCTCGATCTGTGCTCGACGGGGTTCAGGCGAGTAAAAATTCTGTCTTCTTGATGTGTGCCTGCAGTGCAGCGCAGGGTGTCATCAAGGGGTGATGCTGGCCATGCAGCCATGCCATGCTCATTGCTGCTGGTCGATGAACTCGGTCTGGTCAGGGGTGCAGCCGGAAGAGGAGTCTGTTTTCTTGGTGATCGTCGCCTCCTGGTTCCCGCAGGGTGCAGCCGCAACTCTGTGCCTGGACCAAAACCCTCTTTTTTCCCATTCTCGACTTTTCTTCGGACTCCCACTGCTGACTCATCTGGATCCCAAGGGACTTCCGAACTCGACGAGAAGGAGTGACCAATAGTGTTGCAGGGCTCCTCCTCTTCTGGTCCGTCATGTCCGCAGAGGCTCCAGGGGCACGCAGCAGGCACGCCGGGTACGCAGTTGCGTGAAAGCATGACCGCATGGGCTCCTGCCGCTGAGCGCAAGTTCGGATGGCCCAACCAGGGCTCATCTCACCCGCGCCTCTTCTGAGAAACAGCCATTGATGATGGAGGAAGTTCCTTCCTGCCAGCAAACAAATCGTTGCTTGTCGAAATCAATGATAGCCATCCATGTGCCTTCCCGGAGACCCAAATTCGCGCGGCCTGAAACTGCAACCTCCACTTCCACCTCCTTCCACTCCACGTTCTCGTGGGTACGTACCGCCACAGGGGTGGAGCTAGATGAATCCATGGATCTCGGTCAGTGGATTTCCCTCCTCAATGGATCCACCCATCATCAATTCTTGGCAGCCATGGGCCAAAAATGTCCCTTCCTTCCTTCCTTTTCTCCTCTGTTCAATTTATTTTGATTGTTCCTTCCAAGTGTCCTGCACGGCATCGCCAGCTTCTGCCTTCCGAGACCCTCGCTTGATCTGGCCCGTGCTTCTTGCCCATTCCCAATTTTTCGAGCCTTTTGCCAATTCTTTCCTAATTCTCCTCTGATGGGACGGATATTGGATCGAAAAAGGAGGTACTTCCCTGTCTCACCTCTTCCTGCCAATCTGTCTAAAGTGCAAATGGATCAATATCTCCGTGCTCCCATGTCTCGTCCCGTGCTGTTTATCCGATGACGTTATGCTTCCATCAATCTTCTTTCCCCCTCCAGGCCCCGTCCCTCCCACCTACCGTGACTTTTGGGGGCCCCTGCCGGCCACTTACCGACACCGTCCCACTCGACGCGTCTCTTACGTAGGCAGCTTTTTTGGGTAGAAGCTTCCACACAGGGATAGAACCACTTCCTTCAGACACTTAGAGAGGCGCCGTAATTGTTACCATTTACCTAGCAAACATCGTCCGACTCGGAGACCTCTTCCGTCCACTTCACCGGAGCCGTGTCCGTCTCCGTATTTCGCAACATTCTTGATAATGCCGCCCAAGAAAGCCACTAAGAAAGCCACTGCCGCCGCGCCCAGCCCGTTGGGTGAGGCTGACGCGAACCGCGTCGTGGGCCAAAACACGGCCGCAAAGGTACGCAATCGCGCAGATATCTCGACATTCTTGAAAGAATATGTGTCTCATTATGCCGTCCCATGATTATCGTCTGTCACGAGTCGGATGCCAGGATTCTCTTTTCTATCGCCTTCAGAAGCCAATGCCGTGACACAGCTCCCAAAGCTGACACCGTGACACGTCCAGCCCGCCGAGAAGCCGGCGCCAAAGTCCCGCAAGCGCAAGTCGGACGCCGCTGCCGACGGTGATGGTGACACCGGCGCCGCTGCGCCAGCTCCCAAGAAGCAGGCAACCAAGAAGGCTGCTGACAAGCAGGGTCCCCTCCCGGACCTCTCTGAAATCCAGCTCCCGGGTGACGGTGAGATGAAAGTCCCCGTCTTCGACACCTGCGACATAGTCCGCACCAAGATCCGCGCCATCCTTCAAAAAGAAGGTGTCACAAAGGCAGCCTTCCTACGCGCCATCGTCAAGGCCGCGTACCCCGCTGGATCGGACCACAAGATTGCTCCCAACTTGCTCACCAATTTCATGAACAAGAAGGGACCCGCGTCTGGCAACACCAGCAGTGTCTTTTATGCGGCCTATGTCTTTTTTGAGAAGCTTCGTGTGAGGGATGGCAAGCCCAAGACCAAGAAGAGAGAGGAGATGGAGAACGAGTGGCCTAATGGCATGGATACCGAGCAGCAGTTGGACGGCTGGGTTACTTGCCTTGCTGGTGAGAGGCCTCATATTGACAAGTATGGCAAGACTCGTTTCCATTAGCCGCGGGAGGCTGTGTAATTTACGTTTTTGACTATTCGATTTTCTCCCCCCTTCGTTTAAGCATGTTTTCTTGGGGATATTGAGGGCGCAGTTTGGGCTAGTGCGAATTATCACACTCTTTTAAGACGAATCTTTCCAATACAAGCTGATCTACCTAGCAAGGTGCCCAAAGACTGCCCGAGAACATGCGAATATCTCGGCCGTCCGAAGTGAAGTAAACCATTGGCTGCTGGAATGATGACTCGAGTATCTACACCCAAGCGGAAGGGACGGCCACTTTACCGATATATCTGCGACGGGGGTGGGTCAGGGATACCGGACCACCGGCACGGACGAGTCATCGGTACCCTACGGAGTACCTCGGCTTCCCCCGGCCACGAAAACCATTGCCATTCACAAACGTCCTGGCTGCTCCCATCCTGGCCCGGCTGAGGGCCCAGTGTGTTGGGTAGCTCCAGTCAACCAGTCCAGCATTTCAATCCATCTCTCGCTCGCGGCCGGCTGGGCACACTCTGCCCTTTCCTTGACACAAAGCTTGGCGACCCCCGTTGGCGCCTTCACCCCTGACCCGCTCTGAACAACAGACAACGACACATTCGGTCTTCCACCACGGCGCCTGGCCACCTGTTGGCCTGGCTGTTTTGTTTCGGCTTGCATTTGACAGGCTGTGGACAGCTCTGGTAGGAACTGGTCGGAAAAGTCGGAACAGATGCTTGCCGCTCTTCATCAATAAAAAGCAAGCCATTGAATCCGCGTCAGCGACTATTGTTTCAACGATAGAGACTCGTCCACAAGGACGCAGGACGTCCGTGAGATGATGACGATATGGCAGCATAGTGGTCCATTAATTCGTTCATTTAGTTTGCCATCTTGACTGGAAAGGGAAATCGGCTCGTAACATGGAGGCTTCCGTCTTCTAAGCTTCAAGTGGATATTCTGTAGGTGTGGTCTGGAATCTTGCTTCTGATGGATGAGTCTTTGTCAATACTGCGGCCTGCTATGTACGGCAAGGATATGACAGCATATCGCGTTCCGCAGGAGAGAAAACTGAGCCTTATCGGTATAGTCGAGGTCGCTTTTCCGCAGTGAATGAAATTTCAACAGATAGCACAGGTATTTAGTTAAGTATGCGATTTTCATGCGGTGCGAACTACTTCACGGTTCACCAAGGATAGAATTGAGGAGCAGTCGAATAGAATGATAAGCATACAGACTCGTATTCACCGTGTACGTGATTGTTGCTGGCCGAGATTCAAACGAAACTGAAGGACAATTGTATCAAGACCCCATCGCATCGCCCTTACATAGCCGCCAGCTTGACCCCAGCAGCAACTTGGCTTTGATCCAGCGACTTATATAGCGCCTACATCCGTTGCTTCAATGATAAAGGAACCGACAACCCCATTCCTACACCAGCAGCATCCCTGAGATCATGACAACACCGTCCACCGGCATGGACGTCCCTTCAGCTTAAGAACTCCTTTTCCCATATTCCTCAACTGCATCCATGCCCTGTCAATATACGTCAGGTACTCTGGTCTGGAGATCATCAACTCCTATGAGCTTCCCGACTCAACTCGGGTTGTTGTTCTGCTTCCCTGAACTCAACAACTTTTCCACCTCCCCCGGGCTTGTCGCTTTCACCACCCTTTACTGGCACCTGATATTAACAGACTTGATGCTTGCACCATGATCCCAAAGAAGTCTCAACATCCTGGTTGTGAATCGCATAGTCCATGGGCCTCTGTCCACGGCCGATGAGTTCCGGGGAAGCCACTCTTTCCAGAAGCAGGGTCGTTGATTCATACTGGCCTTCGCAAACAGCCTTGCATAAGGGCGTATGGCCTGTACCGTTCTTCACTTCAGTATTGGGATGTATGTTGTCGTCCGAGATAAGGATTCCAGGGTAGCCGGCCATTTGACAGTAAGGTGAAGTGCCGTGTTACTACAAGGGGTCGCAAGTGGTTGGTCAGGCCGTACACCAGCTCGAACCAACCGTCGGGCTGTGGACTAGTCCATTCCTCTCCAGCTATGCAGTGCCCAAAGCATTAGATGATGCCCATACATGGCGATGACCTCCTCCTCCATCTTAAGACAGTAACAAAAAACCCACTCTCGTGGACGAGAGAACAGCCTGGATTATAGGACTCTCCAGAGAAAATCGTTGCTGGACTGACTCCGATGTTGGACCCACGCTTGATAAGCTTTGAGAGGATGGATGAATGTCGATCAGAAATTCTCCAACAGTGCCAGGCTTCCCCTATTGCTATCATGTAGTCATAAGGTCGAATGTTCAACATCTCTAACAACAGGTCGACTTGAGCCGTTTGGTCCCTTCGAATAGCCGCATTTAAAAGGACCAGTCCCTGATCCCCTGGCATGCGTACGGAAGCTCCAAAGCTGATCAGAACTCGTGCGCAGACTTCGTAACCATGTTCGAGACAGACGTCAAGAGTTGATTTAGCTCCGTCCCCAGCCTGGTTCGGATCGAGGCCAAGATTCATTAGGATGCAAAGCACGCCGACTGAACCTTGCCTCGCAGCTACTATCAAAGCCTTAGACATCTCCTTTGAAGATGGCAAGCTCTTTTCTGCCCCAAACTCGGCTGTGGTTGCTTTCGCCAGAAAACACATCACGCTATACAGATTGTTCGACTCCAGAGAGACTACTAGTTTGGTAGCGTCAAGGGTAGAATGCACGGCTTTTCCATGAAAGACGGCTTGTTGGTCCAAAATCTTGAACTGGTCGAGGAATTCGTTGTAGTCTTTAAGTATAGTTTTGATCTCGGCTCTGTAGCTTATAATAGACTTGCGTTGCTCGTACAAATGTGAGAACATCAACAGTTGGGATCTATGTTGTTGTGTAGGTTGAAGTAATTGTAGACCATCATATAGGAGCCGTGGGAAGGGGCCGATTGAACGAGTGTTCAACGAGACTCAATACTCGCACTTACAAATTCGAGCTCCACGCCTGATTATCTACTTCCGTTCAATGCAAGGACACCCAAAGCCTTGAGCTCAAGGGTATCAGTAGGGAATTGACTCCTCAACGCGGGAACCACGCAGAGCAAAGCCTCTGTATGTGTTCCCAGACCGGTGTCTACGAACATATCCACCACTTTCGTGACCAAAGAACTTCCCATCCTCAAGTTCCGATAGGCATGGTCTATAGTTGATTTGGCATTGTTGAATTCGTTTGGGCAAGGGCTTCTCATCAATGCATCCTTGAGCCCGAGAAGCAGACAGGTGAGAAGCTTTTGAGCGCAGATATCGACGAGTGAGCTTTTTGCACGAATGAATTTGATTTTAGCTGACATGGCATCGACTTGGCGATCCTGGGCGTTTGCCTTTATGAGATGTTCTACGAAAGTGGACTAACCCCAAGGTCGAAAAACTTGTCCAGGTTTGAAAGCACAGCTTGTTTGACCACTCATGTCGTTCGACCTCTCCTTCTCCATAGTGGTCCAGGTTGGAGATTTCTTATTGTCTTAGGAACTCAGCCAGAGATTCAAGAGGCCAAGTTTCTCTTGCTCTTCAAACTGAAAGATCGCAGTACTCGATTCCCATCGAGCATTGATGGGGTACCAGAGGCTTTCCTCGAACTCGCTGTGCTCATGAAAAGGGGATTATTCTGGCATTCTCAACTAGTTCAGTCGCAGATTGTTCTCCAAGTCTGGATTGATCGTTGAGGACAATTGCCCATAAAGTGAGGCCCAAGATCGCCTCAAGATACACCGCAGCCTGCAGGTCGACCCGGAAACCCTGGCAAAATCGTTTATGAAGCATTCGTGTCCAATAAACAGTGATCCCCGGGATCCCGATGCAGTTGCTCAGCGAAGCAACCCGCAGGCTTTCCCAGCTGCATCAACTCTGAGAAGTAGAGCGGACGCTTTGCGTGGTTGTGCCCGCTTTGACGACACCCAGGCATTTGGGAGGAAAATGAGCACCCTGTGAATGAATGTTCTCGTAAAAGATCGGGCATCATCTGCTGCTCACAATTGATGGCGTCGTTCCTGCGACAAACATTCTCAATGCGAACGCTACCACGTTTTGACAATCCGTCATTAAACACCCGGATAGAGTCTTGTCCGATATCAGCTCTTCTATTTGAGACTCCTTTTTTGATAGGCTTCCAAATCATCTGACGACTTCACAACTCAAAGGCAGCTGGCTCTTTCAGGAAAAGACCGAAACCCTGTTGGACCTGCTTATGTCCCTTTGTTCTTTTGATACCATTCCGTAAAATTACGAAAGGACGTGGGATAATTGGCCTAGCACGTTGTGATTTGGTGACGTTTGTCGCCTGTTCCTCGACTTTTAGATAGTAAGATAAGATTGAACCTGATCTCGCCTGAAAACGATTGTAGCTTGAGGATAAAGATTGACGTCTGTGAAAGCTGCCCTGTTGACGTTCAACACATTTACTGCCAATGTCAAATACATCAAGCCCGCCACCCATGGCAAGTCTTGAACATGATCACGTATCTTGAAGAAAGCTTCACTCTAGGTTACGGCAATCGGTATTGTAAGGTAGGGATAACCGGATTGTAAAATTGGATACTCGATGCTGCGACTTCGTCCGTCCATCAAGGTCTTCCGTGCTATTCACGCCTGCAGCGTTGGCATCGCTATGAAGGATTTCTACTACAAAGCGAGGATTAAAATGGAAAACAATTTAGCAGATAGTGGCTTGATTCCTCTAGGTGCGCGACCCATTAGGGGTCGTGTCTCAATACTGTACGAGACGGGCAGTCGTCTCGCAGTAGGCAGTATCGTACGGCAGTAGTGGGCAGCGCCGCATGCGGCGCTGCGACAGTTGTCTAATCGTAAACAACTGGAAATTGCAGAGCCTGCGTCTTTCACGGATACATGATTGATAAAACTTAAGACGCGGGAAGAAATTTCATTTGTAGGTAAATTCGCTTCACTCAAGCCAGGTACTTTTGCAAGTTGGACTTGATAGACCTACTTATCCAAAGAATGGCGCAGCTACTCCGAGCAGTATCATACTTCCACTCGGCAGGTGAAACAAGTATACAAGACTGTTCGCTTGCTAGATTAGAGTCCCTACGAAGTCTCTATGCAGAGAAAGCTTACAACGGCTGATTTGGTTTCAGAGACTGACTCTCTAAGCGCCTGCATGTTGAGTTCTTCATACTCCGAGTGACTTACCACTAACATACGCAAGAACACAACATGCGAGGAATCTTTGCGGTATAAATTAATCAAATTTCGTCATCTCAGAAACCCACGAGTGGCCAAAATGAAGTCGAGCTCGACATTTTCGTCTCACTCAATATCAATCGGGTGTCGGCAGCAAATCATCCATGTCGCGTGAGCTTATGGCCTGAGAACCCTCAAGTGCAAATATGACGTGAAACTTGCTAAAAGTCCTTCAACAATCAATTGAGCAATACGACCGGAATTGGGGTCTTCTTAGACTCTAAGCTTTGCCGATTGTCCGGTAGCGTGGAATTTTTGAGGCCGAGATACCCGCAACCCCTGGGCCTGCTGCGCCCCAGAGTGCATGCAACTTGAAAGTTTCCCAGGCTGGATGGGATTGCTGAGCAATAACATCGAAGAGTCGCATTTTCCATGATGACTGTGGAAGCATCTCCTTCACGAAGTCGCATTGACCCGGAATGGGGTGCTTAGCTGTAGGGACATTCAGTATTTGCTAGTTGTTGGTCCTAGATAGATGGCGGCTGTGTTACGTGCGAGTTTGTCAATACGACACAAGGAAGCATGTTTGCAGTGATTTGATTTGACTTTGCAACCGCGACCGGGGGCTCAGTCTAGTCCAACAATACAAGCAATCAACACGACACTTAGCCGAGAGTAACCCGATCGAGTAAATACTGGTTTTCGGCGGCTGGCTGCGAAAATTGCAGTCACCACATGGGGGCAGTATTTTATGTAATAATTGGTAACTCAAAGGCCTAGAAGGTCTCGGTCTTTTAGTTCTGTAGAAACCCGTCTGACGGCCACCATTGCAGCTTGCCGTAACGTATCACTGCCGGCCGTGTTCTCCATGTCAATTAACTTGATTGGTGGAAGGGAGCCAGCAGGTATTTGGATGATCAGAGGAGACTACAGTCGCATTTGAGCCTAATAGTTACATCGGCCGGGTATGGTCCTCATAAGTCCCAACTATCTTGCCCGTTTGAGCTGTGTCACTTGATGCAAACAATTACCAGGTGCGATTTGATCACTCTTTGCTTTTCCAACACAATGCCAAGCGCTCAGCCACTATGTAGCTTCATGTTGATGGATACCTCTGCAGAGCGGGTTGTCAAAGCCCATCACGAAGACAAAATATCGATGAGTAAAGTAGACCTAGGCGGCACGGAGGCGTGGAGGGCCAATCGACTGTCACTCGGTCGATTTCAACTACTGTCCCCGCCCTCGAGAGTCGCAAATACGCATAAATAGCGTCAAAACTCTCCCACTCTCTGTTAAGTTTAGCAAGGTTGTGGCGAAGGACGAAAAGGCCATAAATCGGACCCGATGCCGATTATAGGTGACGACAGCAGAAACACGAGGGAAATTTTAGTGCTTTCGTTCGGCCAAGCTTTCTCTAGTATGTAGTTTAAAAGCCCAAATGTTTCGTCAACTTCACATTAGACGATCCACACAACCCCTATCTCCCCTGGTGGGATGAAGATGCTACGACGCTCTGGGCTCATCCCGACAATCTGACTCGTCGGTCCCCTGCGTTGCAGCGAGCACTGTTCTAGAAACGATACCAAGCCGAAATCGCTCTCGGATCACTGAACCTCTTTGTCCATTGCTGGGCTGGCCACCCCGCAAATTTCACGATCTCCACCGTCAACGCTTTGGCGAACTGCACAGTCAACCTCCGTGGCGGTACAAGATGGGGTCATCGGTAAATTAATCCGCCAACAGGATGAGGCCGGTCTAGAAGGCTCGGTTCCAAAGTAATGAACTCCTTGTGGCCGCGGACTGCCGCTGCGGGGTGCACCCCAGCTAGCAGTCTATCCTTGTTAAAGTTCAAAAGCTCGGGATTGGTTGTTTAATCGGGTTTAATCTACGGAGCACCTCCTGTCTGCCGATGGCCGTCTCCACCAATCATGCCCGGCTACTCCAGGAGCCCAGCATCTAGCTGAACACGCGGAGAAGGGAGGGAAGACGAAGCTCTCGTGGCTCTGAACTTTCGCATCCAGCCCGTCGGCACTAGAAGCCTTGTGGGCCTCTTGATTGAAGTACATAAGGGTGAGCCAAGCCGCTCTATAGTTGCTAGTCCGGATGATCTACTCTTAGGCCAACCTTGGGACGAACCAAGACCACATTCTTTTCCATTCTTCTTCTTTTTACTCGACACCATGAAGTCCTTTCTTACCGCTCTTACCTTCGTCACGGCGGCTCTGGCAGCCAGCCGCACCTCCGCACCTTCTGGATGCTTGACTGTCAAGAAGTCTGGTGGCCAATACAGCACCATCCAGAAGGCCGTCGACGCCCTTTCCACCACCGACTCCGCCAAGCAATGCATCTTCATTGACCAGGGTACCTACAGCGAGCAGGTCCTCGTCCCGCGCGGACGGCTCAGCTCACCATCTACGGATACACGGCCGATACGAGCAGCTACGCCGGCAACAAAGTGACCATCACCGCCAAGAAGAGCCAGGCTGACGGCCTCGACAATGACGGCAGCGCCACCCTCCGCATCAAGGCCAAGAACTTCAAGCTCTACAACGTCAACGTAGCCAACACTTACGGCAAGGGCAGCCAGGCCGTGGCTCTCAGCGCCTACTCTGACAGCGCATTCTACGCCAGCGCTTTCACCGGGTTCCAGGATACCCTTCTTGCCCAGCAGGGTAACCAGCTTTACTCCAAGTGCCTCATCCAGGGTGCTACGGACTTCATCTTCGGTCAGAAGGCCATGGCCTGGTTTGAGAAGTGCGATCTTCGCGTTGTGGCTGCTTCTCTCGGCTATGTCACTGGTAAGAAACCAGCTTCACACCGATATCAAGTGAGAGACGCTAATAAAAAATAATAGCCAACGGCCGTGCCAGCTCGTCCGATAAGTCCGAATACGTCTTCAACAGCTGCAGCATCGCCGCCGCCTCCGGAAACTCCGTCGCCGATGGCGCCTACTACCTTGGCCGTCCCTGGGGCCAGTATGCCCAGGTTGTCTTCCAGAAGACCTCCATGACCGGCGTCATCAACTCCGCGGGCTGGAAGCAGTGGAACGACGGCGACCCTCGCACCGCCAACGTTCTGTTCGGAGAGTACCAGAACACCGGCATCGGATCCCAGGGCACTCGCGCCAGCTTCTCCAAGAAGTTGAGCGCTGCCGTCACTCCCGCCAGCATTCTGGGCAGCAGCTACACCAGCGCGGCTTACTACGACTCCGCTTACATGTAAGGGGTGATCAGGATTCCCTGGGCTGGAAATGCTTTGGGTTGCTGGGCAGGACCATACTCATTTTCTTCGTACATATTCTTCCACCGAATATATCCTCCAGTTCCGATTGGATCTTTTGTGAATATCTACCTCTTATGTCGTATATTGTCCCGGTGTAACTTTACTTCCGCTTGTGGCATGATTCCCTCGGCATCCGTGATGCAGCGTGCACTGACTCGTCCCCGCGATCGCCGGCGCTGTTCACCGACAGAAACAGCAAACTCAAAAACGAGTTACTACGCGTCCACTGCCCCAAAATCCCGCGAGAAAAGATTGAGCTTCTTTTCTGCCCATCGTGGACTGCCCCTGCTAGTTATGGCCCGTGGTGAAACATTGGAAATTGAGGCTTAGTTTCAGGTACAAACGGACGGGTGAGAGAAGAAAAAGGGCCTGGGCCGCGCAACATCTGTCCCCGTGCCAAGCGCTATGTTCAGCTGGCGTTACGTGACTTGGTTGACGACTGCCCATGCCAAAAGAAAATTCTGCCTGTTCGCAATATTGATTTCATTTCTTCCCGACAGAGTTCAGAAGCTCCTTGTTCTGAGAAAGAGGACAAACACGCCATAAGTTACACCACATATTAAACTCAATCTCGGAATCAAAGCTTCAACAAATTGGCCAGGGCCCAGGCCTGTTGCGAAGCCGAGCTAAGTCTGGTGTTGCAGATGAGAAAGACTGCTCAATGATCCAAGTTAGCTTAATCGAAACAAATGACTGACAATTTGCACCAGCGCTGCTCGAGTTTCATGCAGAATCGCTTTGTCGCGAATTTTCGAATAGCATCGCGGCGAGCATATCGCCGTCTTCGTCAGCATACGCTGTCTATGTTTACAAGCTGAATCCTTCACCTCTGGCGTTATTATATTTTTACCAGTGCTAGTCCTGGCCCTTGTTCTGTGACCAGTCTTGACATTTAGTTACGACCCAGTCTTGTATGTGATACTTATAGGAGAACGAATACACTTCATTTGAGGATCAGGCCACTCAAGTTGCGACGGCTGCCTTTCGATGTTCCAGAGTATGGTCTAGGAATCTAGTTTGACGACCAAACCTTTCAATCTTTTGCTTCTTTATTTCCTCGGATGAGCATATAGCGACAATTCTACTTGAGGGGAAGTCCTCGAATCCCTTGACCAAAGGGCCTCTTGGGGTCGGTGGACTTCCTTGACGCCAATCCAAAGCCTCTCAATGAGGAAAGTACATAAAACCTAATTGCATGGCATTCTTTGCCTCGTCCGTTGCGCTTAAACAAATCTCTACGCCCCCATTCGCTGCTGCATGGGTTCGTTGAGGAAACCGCCCGGATCGATTTCCTCCTCACAATTATGGGTGCTATCAGATCTTCTCTCAACATTGCACTCAAGCACCTTGGGCATCTCTGAATCTCCGGATGGCTCCCTTTCTCGCCATAGAAATCTAGAAATCCAGCTACCATCTCTGGGAATGCCTTGGATGAAGCCTGCGTGCTTTACTCCGATTCCAATGCCAGCAGCCTTTGCGCGTTCTCTGGATCATTTCTGCACCATGGGTTTAGGTTCTGGCAGACCGCAATCCATTGCAAACGAGATGGCAAAACCCGAAGGTTCTCGAAGAGATTATGGTGTTAATTGTCAACAACACAAGAAATGGCACATGGATGCTTTAGGTCGGGACGTCGCCATACCAATTGTCTCACAGTATCCTCATGTGGCCGCTGTGGCGACCAGAACATCTATGCTATGGCAGCATTTTCCCATTAGCCTTAGGTGTTACGCGCGGTAAAGCATTGTTCAAGTTGAAGCGGGAATTGATGGCCTTTCTGAAGAAGTCTACACCGTCTTGGTCAAAAAGATCCTCCATTCGACTGTAGCTAAGTTTTGGAGGCCATCTCGATCTGATGTGTCCAACTCCTTGAACCTCAAAGTAGCGTTCGTAGTATCTATTCGCTTTTATGTCTCCAGAATTTCGGTGAAAATCAATAGAAGGACGAATAGCTATGTCGCTATTGAGGGCTGCCCGGCTATTAGGCTCTCGAGGTGGATATTCTTTCCGTAATCGTCCGTCACCGCATATCTGACTTCATTTGCCACAATGGATTCCAATGTCGCATCAGAATTGTTGTCACCAGCCTCCTCCACGAGGAAAACTTCGGGTCAGAGGTCAAGTTCATGGCATAGTTGAGTACAATAATCGGCGACAGCACAGGCTCACCCATTAAAGTCGCGCACATCAGAATGAAGGCAGGCGAACTCGCGATATGTTCCTGCAGTCGCAACGTTAGGACGGCTTGTAGTTCAGCAATTCTCAGAAACCATCTTAGACAACGATATTAGTGCTCATGATAAGTCGGGCGTTGCGTGTTCTCGACCATAAATCGCCATTTGAGTCAGGGCTATAGCAAAACTGGGCCATATCGACGGACTCAGCGAACTCGACTTGATGACGGATGCCTTTGTCAGCGAAGCGGACTCTGTTGTCTGTTGGACAGACACCCCCCTGTAGTCTTTCCTGCAGACACTCTCCTTCAATGGCAGCGGCAAAGTCATTTGTCTTTCTGAGAAGGATCCTGAAAAAGAAGTCAGGTTCGCTGGTCTGGACGGAACTAGGGGAATCAGTGGTGTTTCTGATATCCAAGTTGGATAGAAGTAGGATTTGGACAAGGATTATTCATAACCACAAAGCTTTCTGTCGCTTGTCTTCGGCCAAAGTGGGTTCCGCAACTAATAGCTACCGGCACAGCAACTAGATCGACGACCACCACATCGCCAAGCCGATCTGTTTGAAACTTCAAGGACCTAGGCAAGTTCAGCTGCACCTATGTATCCCGTCCGTGAACGGTATGCCGGTGTCTTGAATATTCCGAGAAGTCTGAGCCTGCTCTGGCCCTCACTGACAAGAATAAGTGATCTCTTTAGTCTTCATGGCGTCACAGAATGGAGTGGGATCTTTTCCTATATTTACATTTGTGATGGGAAGCTTCCTGCAATAGTGGCCGACATCTACAAGCGAGTTGGTAAAGGCAAAGGCGCGTATGTTGCTTTCTGTCACGAACCAGACATAAACATTGGACCTCTAGAAACGGCTTTTCACATGCGCTATCAGGTGAGTTGCGCATTTTTCACTCCCACAGACCGCTTCTTTTTCTCTGTTGTGGTTGGAATAGCATAAGCTATTTAAACCTACTTACTTGGTTGATGTGCAATCTGCTACGTGCTATTCGTGACTTTGTCTGCGCGAGTGGGGCGAATCCGACATTGTGTCGGTTGACATGGGCCATCCGTATTCGTACGAAGTACTTTCTCACCTGAAGTAATACCTACAGGCGGCAGACATCTCCCGAGTCAGGATAGCTTCAGTGAGCTTTCTCAGCAATGAGAAACAAAGCCGCAGGGAATAGAGGGCTTTCAGTTGGCCAAAGCCTCCTCCGAGCGAAGTACACTACGTAACCAAGTCACAAGGTATAGCAACTGCCTTACTTGAACATTGATGCGTCAGCAAAGTCGAGATCCCACAGAATTTTGCTGTATCAGTGCGCTCAGTGTCGGACTTTCAATGAGACCAGAGTTCCTGACTGCGGTAAATGTGTTGTTCTCACAGTGTCCCGCGACCAGCTACCGATCGAACGATAATCAGGCGTGCGGGTCATGCTCCGGCGACCATGAGCATACTGTCCCGACTTGGCAATTTTCTCGGCCGGGCCGGAACACCTCCGGAGATAATGCATTGATTGAGTAGCGTTTGCCCGTAGGCCGTGCACAACTCAGTCAATAGTGAGAAACAAGGTTGATGGAGGGGTAACGAGCGAAAAGTGAGGGGCCGTTCTCCTAGATGCAGCAAATTGCCCAGCTAATGCATATTCCATTGGAGTCGTTGGTTGATGCGAAGACTAAGCATCAAAAGCTCATCGCCGAGTGGCTGTGAGATTTTGGGGCTGGAGTTTATGCTTCGGCCGGAGGCTTTTTTGTAAATCCGACAGCTGGGTGGATCGCTTCCGGGGCTGTCGCGACCTGGGGAGATCATACCATAAGTTCTGTTAGATCGCCTGGCCCAGAGCCTAGATTAGTCGGGACCGAAGCCCCAATTTGCTACCCGAGAGCGATCGGTGGACGACGTTTGCGTTGCCGCCACCAAAGACCAATCATCAAAGACAAACAAGGCCTGTGGAATGGACACGCAAGCATACCTCCTGTAGCAGCCCGACTACCCGTAGAGCAATTCTCAAGAACGTTGTCTATGCAGCAACACTTCAAATTTCAAAGTGCAATGTGCTCATGGTATGTTGTCGTGAGATGATCAGTGCAATGATGTATTGATGCACTGAGACCTGTCATGAGCTCGGTAGCGCCCGCGGTTTAGTGTTCCGGTTGTTCAGTGACAACTGTCTGTGCGTTGACAGTGTTGATTTTGGCATAAATTCGGACTTCGTAAAATCCAAGATTGACGCTGGTCATGTTACGGATAATACTATTGCCCGAGAACGTCTCTCTAATTTGGGGGATGGGGATAACCCGATTATTAATGAGTCTGGAACTTGGTCAGCACTTAAGGAACGGTCAAGAGACAGAACGAACGTGGACGACCAACAGAACCAACAGGCCGGGGGAACGGCCAGATGCTAATGAAAAAAAAAGTCCGGTGCTCGGCGAACGTAAGCACCGATACGCCGTCTAGCGGCCGGATCCATATTAGATAACTCCAACTAAGGGGGCCACCCCTTGCGCCCTCTACCGACGCATCGGAAGACTTTGCGGCCACACCAACGCCCAAGCCAACCCACTTCCCAGTTCAATCGCGGGTGCTTCCATACCTGAAGAGGAGGCTAAGTTGTCAACGAGGTAGCTTCGGCCCTTCGCTACCTCGCATCTTGGACTTAGCTCCGAGATCATATATGGCAGCCTGGAAGAAACTCGAAGCCATCCATGTCGCTTTAGACACTTAAGAGTCACGACGAGGAGGATGATGACGAATAATGGCATATAGAG